TCCGATTATCCTCAACAAGAACACATAGACATACATCATACACATACACAAACATATACATATCCTAAAAGAGATGGATTAGATAGAGATGGAAGATGAAGGTACACGGAGAAAGATGATAGGAAAAGAAATAAAGAATGAAAGAATGGAGATTTTGGTTACCAAGATCATCTTCTTCTTCTTGGAGAAATCCTAGAGCTTGAGAGTGGAAGAGCCAAATGGGAGGGGTTGGGTTCAATACAAAGGATTTGAGGTGTTTTATAGAGTTCAAAACCCTAGTTAGAGCAAGCTGAAATTTTCGGCCAAGAAGGGCCATTTTGGTCATTTCGCGATTAAAATCTCGGGTTATAATTTTGGGTCAAAAGTTGGGTCAAGTTAGGATAAAAATAGATTTCTAAAATATTAGGAACGAAATGGGTTCAATCTTATGAATATTTCTAGGCCAAAACACTTAAATCAGTTTTACAGGTTTCACTCAGATTGACTTTTTGGGTCAAAATCTTGTACATAAATATACTCAAAAGATGAGGTTTTTAAAATATAAGTATTTTTGGGTGTTGAATTATTTAAAATAAAGGGATTAAAAATATTTAATTCATACACCCATTTGAAAAATTAACGTAGGAGTGAAAGTAATTTATTTTGGAATTTATAAAATAGAATTTGGGAAAATAATTTTTTGGTTGTCACAAGTACCCCAAGCATAATTTTTGCAACACAAATCCTATTAATTGGTATGATCCATGCTTCATCTTGTTGCCACTTCCGCCATATATGAATTCTTGATGTGATCTAGTCACCTGGTGTGCTTCACACGCAATTTTAGTGACTTGCCGCAGTACATCTTCAAAAACAAAACCAAATCCTCTTTTCCCAAAAGACAATGATAATAGACTAGTTTCTCATTTGTGTTGAATATATACTGTAAATTAGGTGTACCGTTTCATCAATGCCCAATGCGTGATTCTAATTAATTGACAAAAGTTCATCTGAAATTTTATAGATTGGAATGAGGTTCGAACCTAAAACCTTCCTTATGAAAATTAACGAGTAAGTTAAGAATAATATATATTGATAGGTAAATACGCATAAAAGACTGATCCGTATAGCCGGTCCGTCAAAAAGTCACCCAACAGGTTCGTTACGGCCATCAACCCGACGAGACTAAATCACTTGTGATCAACCGTACCGCTCGTACCGATAGGCCTCGTGACAAAAGAAGATGCTCTTGGATCACCCTTAGAATCGCCCCGACGGAAATTCACCCGGTCGGTCTACCGTAGGTTGACCAGTCGGCCTACAAGGTGACGTAGCATGCAGAGCCGAAAATGTAACTTATACGAAAAGTTATAGGGGCCAACTTGCGCCTGTAGACCGATCGATTGACCTACGAGCGCTCTCTTCTACTCGTTCACAAATATACGTATTCACAGTGTAATCGTAACACCCAATTCAATTTACGCTATCATATATTATCGTAATTTAGGAATTAATTGCACATATATTACTATAATTGACTAACAATTATTATGGTAATCAAACTAATAATTACATAGATATAAATATAATTACAATTAAATATGGATCGTTGAATTTTTTTCTACAATTACAATTAATTTTATTATATATATATATATATATATATATATATGTATGTATGTATGTATGTATGTATGTATGTATGTATGTATGTATGTATGTATGTATGTATGTATGTATGTTATACTTAAGGTATAATACTATGAGAACAAAATAAATTATCATTATTATTTTTCCGTGTAATTAATATGGTAATCTCTCGATATATATTTTTATACTTAATGTATAAAAGTATAATTACACGATATTAGTATAATTATCTAATACTTATTATGTTAATTAAGTTAATAATTACACGGATATTAGTATATAATGGATGAGGAAAAAAAACAAAGACGATATGGTGAAAAAAATATATTTAAGGCATAAAAATATAATTGCACATATATTAGTATAATTGCCTAATAATTATTATGGTAATTAAGCTCAACATGACTCTTTGAATTTATTTTTATTATAATTACAATTAAATTATTTTCTATTTTTTCCCTTATTTATTTGAGTAATAATATAATTACATAAATCATATTACATATCGATTTTTTAAGATAATTGCAGAAAATAAGTCATATATCATTCAATTAATTGAGTGATATTTTATACTAATTTTATAATCAAATAAATATACACTTTCAAATATTAGAATTATTTATAATTTCATATTTAATTTTATTATCTAAATATATAATTAAAAAATGTTATATGTGAATCACACATGTAATTTACTCCGTACTAATTTATGATAAAATGTATTTTTTTTCCACATGACCATTTTATTTTTACCTTTGGGTAAATCCCATTCAAGGTTCTTTGAGTTTGGTGGTTTCGTCACCTTTAGTCATAAACTTTTAAATTGACCTTCCGTAATCATCTGAGTTTTGAATTCGACCTTCCATAATCCTTCCGTTAAGATATTTTGTCTGAGCTGTGAAAAACAAGAGCAAAATAGTATTTTTATTGCAACCCCAACTAAAACAATTCAATTCCCTCCGAAATTAGCCCTAATTTGTTCCCAATTGCAATTTTTTCGGTGAATTAGGGCTAATTTCTTAAGAAAATGTTTTTTTTTACTAGGGTTGCAATAAAAAGACTGTTCTGCCATTAATTTCCACGACTTAACCGAAGGACTACGGCAGATCGAATTTGAAAATCAAAAAATCACGGAAGATTATTTAAAAGTTTGAGTTAATGTCATTTTTGGTCCTAGACTTATTGTGGCATAGACACTTTTCATCCTCCATAATAAAAATTGCCAGTTAGTAGTCACTGTTATTGATCGTTGGACATTTATGGTCCTCAGTCAGTCAATCCGTCTCTTGACCGTCTAATTGAAGGGCAAAATTGTCATTTTATTTGGATTTCTTCTAAACAAACCAACATTTCCCATATCGAGTAGAATTCACATCTGTCTACAAACCAACATCAGCCACATATCATCCGTCGGACCAAAGTATAAAATCGAGTAGAAACTGTAGAATTCACATTTCCCACGCGTCTGCCCCAACCAAGAGAGAGAGAGAGAGAGAGAGAGCATGAACGAGCTTCCTCCATCGTTACTCCTCGAAATCCTGAGTCGACTCACCGACCCGGCCAACCTCGCTCGCTGCAAAATCGCTTCCAAAACCCTCAACTCCACCTCCAGGGACCTCCAATCCGTCTGGCTCCTCTACTCATTCGACCGCTACGCCAAGTACCGCTCCCCCCCCCCCCTCACCCGCTCCTCCGTCACTCCCTTCAATCAGATCTTCCGCCGATTCCTTTCCGAATTGCGAATCGTCAAGTCCGTATCCATCGGCGTCGTATGATGCTGTGGAAGACGAGGAGGATTTGTACTTGACGGACATGAATTTTGTGGAGGAGTGGCTGCCCAGGGTGTCTCACAGTTGACATCCGTTTCGATTTCGGATTTCTGGGTTCAGTCCTGTTGGTGGAGATCCAATGTGCTTGCTGTCATTTCTTCTCAGTGTGAGCCCCTTCTCATTTGACATTCACACATATCCTCCCTAATATATATAAGCTAATCACAATTTACTGAACCTAAGAAAAATACTTTCTAGCAAAATGTCTTGTTCTTAGATGATGAATTCGATCACATGATTATTCAATATTTGGACTAAATAAAAAATAGATGGAAAGTTGTCTCAGCAGCATATCACTTCAAAAGTCAGATTAAAAGACAGATTTGCCCTTCAATTAGACGGTCAAGAGACGGATTGACTGACGGAGGACCAAAAGTGTCCAACGACCAATAACAGTGGCTACTAAATGGCAATTTGTATTATGAAGAATGAAAAGTGTTCATGCCCCAATAAGTCTAGGACCAAAAATGGCATTAACTCTAATAGCACGTTTGGTTCACGGAATGAATTTTGAGGTAATAGGAATGATATTCCATAAGGAATAGAATAGGCAAGGAATAGAATATGAATTGTATTCTATTGTTTGGTTCGCAGAAGGAATAGACTTTAGGAATTATATTACAGTGTTTGGTTGATTTACGGAATAGAAATGAAATATGTTTTAAAAGACATAAAAATACCCTTATAAAAATATGTGATGGTGGCGATGGTGGTGGTGGTGGCGGTGGTGGTGGCGATGGTGGTGGCGGTGGTGGTGATGGTGGTGGCGGTGGTGGTGGTGCTGGGGTGGTAGTGGTGGTGGTGGCGGCGGTGGCAGTGGTGGGGGCGACGGTGGTGGTGGTGGTGGTGACGGTGACGGTTGACGGTGACGGTTGTGGCAGTGGTGGTGGGGGCGGCAACGGTTGTGGCGGTGGTGCTGCTGGGTGGTGGTTGTGGTGGCGGTGGTGGTGGTGGCGGCGACGGCGACGATGGTGGTGGTGGTGGTGGCAGTGGTGGTGCTAGGGTGGTAGTGGTGGTGGTAGTGGTGGCAGTGGTGGGGGCGGCGGTAGTGGTGGGGGCGGCGACGGTTGTGGCGATGGTGGTGGCGGCGGCGACGACGATGGTGGTGGTGGTGTTGGTGGTGGCGACGGTGATGGTGGTGGTGGCGACGACGATGGTGAAATAGGATAAATTTATATATATGATAAAAAAAAAGTAGGTTAAAGACAGGGGTAAGAAAAGAAAATAGATTCTAAAATCTATTCCTGAGCGTTCAGTAATAGGCTAATACCAAGGGGGGCCCAAGTAATAATTATTACCTTATTTAAGGTAATAGGCCAATATCAGGAATAATATTCCTGGTAATAGAAATGGTTACCAAACAAATGAATAGGCCTATTACTGGGAATGCTATGTCATTCCCGACCTATTCCGGGAACCAAACGGGCCATAAAAGTTTAGAAATAAAAGTGACGAAACCCCCAAACTCGAAGTACCTTGCCGATATTTACTCTTTTACCTTTCATACTGCTGTCATTTTTAAAAGAAAAAAAAATTACTCCGTAATTTCTATTACTGGTGAGGAGCCGGGGTCTGCTTTCGTGTATGCGCCCATTCTGCGCAAGGTTTGCGATCATCTCTGCTCCGGGAAATGGCGAGCTCCCTGCGGCGAGCAGTGACGCATTCGCGTCAGCCCTATCGATACCCTCTGACTCCATTATCGAGGTCTTTCTCTGCATTATCGGACTCACTCGTAGAGATCCAACGGGGAGAGATCGGTATGGTCTCCGGTATACCCCAAGAGCATCTTCGTAGGAAGGTACGTAATGCCATCTGCTTTGCTTTATATGCTTCATTTTCTAATCGAATGTGACCTGAATCGAATGTCTAGGAGTTATTAGGTTCCCGTGTTGGCTAAATATTACATTTGTAGTCGATTCATTTTAGGGCTTTTCTCCCGCGTATTTGCTTCAGCAGTTCGCTATTGGTTTCTTATCTGCGTATTAACTCGCATCTCATCTAAGCAATATCACTACTTCATGTATTACTATTTGTATTTTGTGTGAATTTTTACTAAACTGGACTGCTGAGATTTTCCCTGTAATTTCATTATTTCAGAGAAGTTTTTTTTTCTCTTGTATTATGAACTCTTCCTGCAGCCTCACATATAAGTCTGGGCACAAAATAGGGTTCAATATGCTAAATAAAGTTGTTTACTTTCCTGACTGTTAATTGTCTATTCTGTTGATATTCATGTTGTAAGTTTTTTTTTTTTTTTTTGTTTTGGTTTTTTTAATAATAATTTGAGTTCCGGTGAAAACAGTGATGCCATTGTTAGTTTGCATGGATATGGGACCTCATTTGCTTTTATTCATCAATGGTACTTATCAGGTTATTATTTTCTCTCCTGCGCGAACTGCTAGTCAGCAAGGATCTGGAAAAGTTGGGAGATGGAAAATCAACTTTTTATCGACTCAGAAGTATGCTTCATTTTTGCTTCTTTACTGTGGAGTATTGGACTTCATGATAAAACTGTTTCTGTTCTTTTTAAAGTTGAAAACTGCACATGTAAACAGATTATATTGGTAAGATACACATTGAAGGATGACGCTTTTCTTGGTTACATATGTGTAGATGGGAAAACCCATTGATGGGTTGGACGTCCACAGGGGATGCATATGCCAATGTTGGTGATGCTGCGCTGGGCTTTGACAGTGAAGATGCTGCAAAAGCATTTGCTGAAAGACATGGATGGGAGTATACGGTACTGAATTTGTTTCTCTTTATTTATTCTGTATTTGCTTGTGTTTTAAAGCTCCTTACAGTAATTCAATTATGCATGCTTGCATCCAAATATGCTGTATCTTTAAAATTGTTTTGACCTCATTAGGAATGCTTTATGAAATGACCAGTCTTGACAAAACTTTCAGTTAGGGATACGTATCTATCTTTGAAAAATACATTTCTTGCAACCTCTAAGCTCTAGTGCTAGAAACTAGAACATCTGAAAAATCAATAATATCATGTTTATATATACACAACCATTTGGTGCAGTGTAAATTTATGCATTGCTATTTGAGACAGTAGGATTTGAATGCTTGTGAATTGGTGTATGATTGAAACCGATAGCACTCTATATAAATGAACAAGACGACTGGAGTCATACACTTGTTTATTTCATTGGTGTGTGAGTAAATGTGTAGTAATTATATTAATTAACCTATTTTTATCTCTGCAGGTCAAGAAACACCATACACCATTGTTGAAGGTTTGAAGGCTTCTCATTCCACTATGCATTTTTAGTAAATTGACACACATTGTTATCAACAATTCTTTTTGTGAATCTGTTTGCAGATTAAGGCCTATGCCGACAATTTCAAGTGGAGAGGCCCTCCCAAGATGGAGGGATGAATTGAAATTTTCTCTCAGGCTATAAATAGTGTCTCTTGCATCTTGCTTAACTTATAAAGTTTGGGTGTGTCTTCAGGAATGAGCCCAAGCCAAGTTTCTTGAAATTAATAAAGCGAACTTTACCGAACCTTTGTATGGGAAATTAATTTTTTATTAAATAAGAAATTCTGCATTTAGACATATCTCAATTCTCAACCATATGTTATAGGCTGCAAAAGGCTAAGATCCATTGTATGAAATGGATTCTATGATACTAATACTTGTGTTCTCTCCGCATTCTTATAAAAGCATTGCTAGCAGCAAAAGCCAGATATGGATGGTGCTTACGTGAAAGCATTGTCAAGGCGAATACCACTCCTATCAGGTAGCAGCTTCTTCATGTAATATTTTGATCTACGCGAGAGATTGATCTTCTTCCTTCTTTCCTCTGGTATATTGTCAATGGAACATTCTGAGAACCCACGCCTTATAAACCTGTTAAGCATAGCGAATTGTCAACAAGAATACCATTTCTGAATAGAATGTAGGAAACCCATACCAGTCAGCTGTGCGAGTAGTGAGGAGGAAGAGCATTTCCAGTCCAAGAGAACATGCTTTCTTCTCAACGTAATCTGTAAATATATCAGTTAGCTGTCAATCTTTCTGTGACCAAGAACTCATGCTAACATTGCTTTGGAATATTGGTCACACTACAACACAGAGGATTACAGCAAAGAGCCAAAGATCCTAGGAGTTTATTTTGTTATTTTTAATTCTTCAGAATCTGTTTCTAGTAATTGAAACTGCAAATCTGCAATGAGGTATTGGGTAAATAAATACTTTCTCCTGTGCAAATTAAGTCTGAAGGGTAGAATGCTTTTGACATAAGAGTTTTGTTGTCATACCGAGTAATTTATCTCCCTTTCCTTGGCCACGGCAATCTGGAGAAACAGCAATAGCAGCAACCTCTCCACATTTTTCTTTGTAGTGTGGAATGAGAGCAGCGCATGCTATAATTTGACCTTCCCTCTCCATAACAATGAATGAATCCAACATGTCGAGTAGCTAGAATAAAATAACACACACAATTAAGAATGGGGATAACTTATGGATGACAAGGGAAACCACAACAACTATTAAAGGATAGTGCATTGGGTAAATGCTGCCTTGTGACCCTACCCAGCAAAGGATTCCAAGTGGGAGTGACCTATTGACCTTTTTGGTTTGAACCAGACAGCTATGGATTAAGAGTTGGAACTCGGAATTGATAAATAAGAAAGCACAAGGACCAAATTATACCTCTTCCTCTGTCCTCCTTATCAAAGTCCCAGACTCTTCTAGAGGCTGCAATAACTGTTTTATTCCAGGAATATCATCTGTTCTTGCCATTCTTGTTCCTTCATAAAGGTCACTGATACATATTCATTGCAAAATTAGAGGTAGGAAACATACTAACAACAGAAAAAACATTCGCTGCCCTACTGTAACAATATAATCAAGTTCCCTACTCATCAATCTAGCTATAATATAATACTCCGTAGTTATTATCCCACTTCACCGTGAGTACCAAGTAACAAAATCTGAAGGAAAGATATTATTCCATATTAATCTCCCATAGCCCCATTAGCTGATAATATTAGAAATAGTGAAGTGCTAGGTTAGGTATACAGGCATTGATGAAGGCATACTAAAACAAATCAAAATTGTTGGCCATCTAAGTATGTTAAGAACACAAACTGAGCCTCCACAAGTGAGATCCAGAAGACTTGGATGACAAAACTTTGAATATATGACTATATGAGACTTAAATAACATAACATTGGCAAATGAAAGCTAAGTGGGCATCTGTTATTCAAGCAAGCTCATACATAGAGTTTCCAGATCTGGAAAAAGAAAAAAAAAACCATTTGACAAATGAAATTTCAGCATATGACTCATTTACTGATTCCATATATCCATACCTAGCCACCATTGTACCAACTCCATCTCTTTGAAACAATTCCTTAAGTAAAACTCCACCAATAGTGCCATCCAACAGATGAACTCTTTGAACCCCACCCTGAGGGGAAAAATTAGTAACAGGATTACATGGTTTACACTAAACTATCAATACACTCAAGCTGCACAGAGCATATGGATGTAGTTTGCATCTAAAACTTTTTGACTAGTTTTTGGCATTTGGTTTAAATTTGGGGTCAAGTTTGTGATGTAATAGTCAATGCATTTGGCTTTTAGAATAAATCAAACTTCTCTGATCAACATTTAATATATGTTAGGATTCAATGTGTATATTCAAGAGAGTTCAAACTCAGAGTTCAAAAAATTTCTTTTTAAAAGGAGTAATAGAGTATAAGATCATATTATTTATTTGTCTTGTTGAGGGAGAGGTGGTTTGGCATGGGGGAAAGGGGGAGGAAGTGACTTACTCTGCAAACAAAAGCTGCAGCTGCTAATTCTGAAAGGTAGCCATATAATCGGCTTAGCCTCTCTTGTCCTCCAATAGCGAAACCCTGTTCACTAGACCACAGTCCATTGCCATTGTCAAAACCAACACCGTTCTGAAATGTGGCATTATATCTATGGTTTAAACCATTCCCATTTGAACCTTTATAGCCTGATTGAGCAAGTTCATCCTGACCAACAGCTTTCACATAATTAGCTGCTGTTTCACTTTGCTCAGCTCTTTTACGGACCAGTAAGTCTGCATCCTGAAGAGCTAAGAAACGAATAAGACGTCCAGATTGATCCAGAATAGGACCATCTATAATGCAAATTAGTTTCTCTGCACCAAGGGCCAAAGCACAAGCTGTAGCAACTTCATATGTGCTGCAACATATGTACCACACATATATATCAGTCCACTAGAATCAACAGCAACTATCCAAAAGGGAAAAATATACATTATAGTTGCTGAAATATCAAACATAGCATACTTGCAATTTAATACTTGTCCAGAGCTAGAATAACCAAGATTGCTTATTAACACAATGCAGTCCCGATCAAGCCTTGTACGAATTCGAGATACATCTATCTTCTTCACTTCACCAGTTGATCCATAATCAACTCCCTCCACAACTCCTCTTCTCTATAGTAAAAGATATATGTTAGCCTGTATGATTAAATGGTACCTAACATACTGAAAGAAATAAAAACTTGAAAAATGATTAATTTGCAGTTGACAGTATAAAATTAAAAAGGGATCTAGAAAAGTAGGCCGAAACACATGTGCTGAAACATGAAACACCCACCTTAGCTGCTAGATAATTACCACTGGCAACACTTACACCATCATGCCAACGATTATTGTCTCCATGCCTGCGGACAACACTCAAAGAAGGTCCAGGTGACAACTTCGCCTCTAACATAATACGAATTCTTCCAGCTGCACTCATTGCAGCCTCGAGTGAATAAGAGTCTGTCACTCTGTAGCGACCTACATACTTGGGCTCACTACCTGCCAGAAGAAATAATAAGTTCATTGTCTCATGAGAATACCATTTAAATTGCAACTAGTTAATAAGCTGTGCTGGGTTCACTGATTCAAACTCCCTTCATGGCTTTGTGCATCATCTCCTTAAAGTCTTACAAAAGATTAGAAGGGCTATTTTCAATGGAAAAAGAACAAAACTAGACTTCCCCACAATAACATCCAATTGCCACTGCCACTCCAAAGAAAAATCGTGCAGGCACTGAGGCACACACTAGATGCATTGCAGATAACATTAGTTTCATGGAAGTAAATTATAAGAGCATACAAAAAGATTTCAACCAAAAAAGAAAAAAGAAAAACTACTTCTTAGCTACCAGATCAGGATACCATTGAAGAAACAATGTAAGTGGCTATACTTTAGATATATGCCAGCCAAAACATAGAAAGAGAAGAAATATGCAGCATTTAAAACTCACCCTGCTCAGCCAAAAGCCTGTCAATCTGCACATGAGTCCCCGGCACAAGAACAAACTTGATTCCCAGACCATGAAGGAGAGAGATATCCTGTGTAAAACATTCACTCAAAGTGGGCAAGCACTAGTGAAAATCCAATGTACAACTAAAGAAGGTTCAACCTAATAACAAAACAATTCCTAAGCAAAAAGAGAAGGAATAGGTGGAAAGTACAATCAAAATTTATTCAACTTGCATGTACTCTAAGTAAACCTTCGGTTGCCGGTTGGAATCAATCAATTATGTGAAGAACGTAGAGTAAGGCCATGTTTGTTAACATAGTTAGCTTACCAGCCAATTTTGACTTATTTGATCACTATTAGTTATTTTACTTGTTAAACAATCAATATGGGGTAATTAATTTTTTGTCGCAGCTTATTGATCTAAAATGCTAAAATTCGAAATGCTGCTTTAATCAGCTTTTTGAGAATGTCATTTTGCATGTAATAAACTATCAGCTCACAGTTAATTTATCAAATACTTTTCTACAATCCGCTAATGCTATCAACTAGTCAAACTCACTAACCCAATCAGCAAAAAGCTATTTACCAATCACATTAAGTCTTAAAATGCAAAAAGAACATTGAAGACTTGCCATAAGAAGCGGATCCAAATGAGGGCTATCAACGATTTCAGCAGAGATTAGCACAACAAATGTACTGCCTCTGTGTGCAAGAAAATACGGCCAAGCCTCCCTGAAAAATCTAACGAATAGCTCATCCTTTACGGCGCTGCTGGCGTCATTCCAGGCGCCTTCCGTCTCCCCAAAAACCTTGCAACGAGACAACAATCTCATGGCCCGATCACAACTGAAAGACGAAAGACTTACGGAATGAACACCAACCGATCGCTCACCGAAATGAAAGCTGTATCGAGCTCCCGGAGCCCAAACAGCCGTAGAGGAGAAACTCCATGGCCGCTGGTTTTGAATAGAAATGCATGGTCTAGAAAGCGCAGACGACATGGACATTAGGGTTCGCAGAAAGCACAGCAAAAGCAATGTGCTGTCCAGTATTGGAGGCAACGGATGAAGGTAAAACAGGTGGTGGACCCCACCTTCACCGCGCGAGATTTCAACGAACTGTCATTTGGCCGGCGGTGAATCTTATTTACAGATACAAAATACCAATTCTCGAGTACTTAATCCATGTTTTCCTAATTAAAGCTTAAACATAAATTATGGAAGACAAAAAAGTAGTATCGATGATTTTGGCGTATCCCGCTGCGCCGCCACGTACGGCTGAACTTCTTTCATAAATTGTTAACCTTCATCGCATCTCTCTGACGACGAGCAACTCAAATTGTTTAACAATTTCATTGCCATTGCAGCATCCAAGTTTCAAGGAGCCATTTCATTCTCATCTTCATCCTGCACCATAACGATGCAGCAAATTCATGGCGTTTCAACGATGACAAGAGAGTAGCAATGAGTCTATTTGAAGGAATTTGGGCAAAAAGTTTCCATGTTTCCGCCACGCATATTTATAATTTATGAAGCTAATAGTTAACATCATCGTCGCCACAGTTACAATCTACTACGTTGATGATACTATCCTAGTTAGATTTCAGTCAAAGACAGTTGTATATTTGTATATTATACAACATTGTTGACATAGAAATGCACAAGGCCCCAACATTGTTTACAACAAATCTGATGGAAATATGAATTCGACATTAATTGCTTTAAGACCAATTGTACCACCTTCGCTGCCTATCAGGTGTAGCTTTTTTGGGTGCCAAAGTAATCCTGTCTGCATGAGCAACAGCCCATTTACTGAAATCTGGGGAAGCAACCAGCTCTTCCATGGCCTTCTTTGTGGTCTGTTGTGTGAGTTTTTCCAAATCCTCCTTTGAGATTTTTCTTCGTTCTGGAGTTTTGTGGTATGAAGAGTAGAATGTATCTGAATCTGACAAAGGTTTTGGTGACTTGCTGGTTGAACCTGTTGGAATGGTAACATTTAAGAGCAATCAATTTGGGTCCAGCAAGTAATTTCAAGTTAGTAGAATTCGGAAACATATAGCCAGTAAAGAGCAGCACGAGTACTAACAAATAAAATTGATATCTCATTTAATTACACGAGAGGAAACAGTGTGGCAACGTGGAACAACAAAGCCCAGAAAAAGAAATGAGCACAACAGAAAACCAAATTCACAGGTACTTGAAGAACATTGAGATGGAGAAGGAAACAATTAAGAGAAATGGAAGTTCAGCAAAGTTGAGTGCTATACTAATCCAGCCAGCAATGTATTCACAACCTATTTCATAAAGTAAAAAATAAGAAAAAGAAAGATCCAAATGCTTGCAAATATTCAAGCTTCGTAACATGCTTGTAAAAATGAAAATTATCCATGATATGAATACACAAATCTTACTGGTGGAACAAGTTCAGTAAGGTTCAAATATAGCTTGGTTAAGGAGAAACAGAATGAATAATGTACAGTGGAGGGAACTTTAGTCTGCATATCCAATTAGTTTTTAACATACAGCATTGAGTATTCACACAAAAATAAAAGCAAGCAAACCTTGGTAAGTACCATTGCTTGGAGGTCTAGGATATGACTCCTTGTATTCTGGTGTAAACAGATCCAATAATATTTCACAGATGTTCCCAATCATTCTTGATGATTTCCTAGATGTGTTACACAAGAAGTTACGGGATAGTGTAAGAAACTAGAAATTAATGGAGAAAAATACCACAGGGGAGTGCCGGTATCCCATTCCCCAGAAAAATCTGAGACAACGAGGCACACACAGAATGAAAGATAAGTTTGCTCAAGAAAAGCAAGCAACTCACTTGTATATCAAGCGTATAAATTTGAGATGACATATTCTTCTCAATATTGATGAGACCAAAATTCCACATACCAATGCCTCTGCAGACAATAAAATGTCTACGGTACTCTGAAGAATTTTAAAAAAAAAAAAAATTACCTTTTCAGTGTACATTTAAAAACCTCAACTCTTAAGGTGATTAGAAGTAAGACTGCCTGCAGGATAATATTAAAAATAACACAAAACCTGAAGAATCATAGCTGAGGCAACAATTCGTATCGCCCAAGCAATAAAATGAGATACGCCCATATCAATTGATCCATCATCTGTGAGTACAACTTTGCGAACCACCCAAAACCCCAACCAAGCTCCAACAATTACAAGGAAAAGGAGCAAAAAAATTGCCAGCTGCGAAACATGATTGTACCATCAGGGGTCAATGAGGTCACATCACTGAATGGAAGAAACACAGCCCATGGCATAATGTTTCTTTCACTCTTCTGTAAAAACATTGGGTGAGTGAATACAACTAACAATTAGAAACTTACATACAGGGTTGTACATGTCTTCACCAATACCAATCTCTGTAAGTATCATGCGCAACACTGTAGGCACATAGCGAAGTAAGAAAGACCCCAAACCAACCTGAATAGAAATTAAAGCAGATTGCTTAATTATTTAGAAAAACAACATTTTGCATGACAACGGAAAAGTCTGACAAAAAGATAGATACCCACAAGGGATGAGTAAATGAATATTGCTAGTGAGTTCTTTCTACCAGTTGGAAGAAGTTTCATCCCCTGCCATTACATTTGACAAAATGTCAGTTCAAAGTTTAAAACAAGTTTAGCATCAAGGGGGAAAAAGAAAATTTGTCAGTCGTCAATACTGTTTATTTGCATCAAGCAGCATATTAACTAATTAACGTGAAGTTAAAAACTTCAATTCTTCTATAATTTTTAAATTGAAATAAATCAGCTTCTTTGCACACATATCAATGACAATTGTATGAGCATCAACATTATGCCTATATTTTGTAGTTGAATTGTCACCTGGAATAGGACCATCAATATCACAAGGAAAATCCCAACAACCATAGCACCACTGTAGTAGAATACTAGAGACTTGCTAAGAGAGGATGCCACCGCCATCAACAGTATTCCAAGTACCAAAAAAACAATCCGGTACAAGTAAAATTCTGTAATAGAGATCTTGAGATTATACAACAAGTTAAAATGTGAAACCAAAGGGAAATTAATTTCATGAATACAGAACTAACCTTCATGTAGGGACACCTGAAGGGTTTGTTTAGATGAGCCCAAAATCCGGAAATCCAAAAACTTGTGATCAAAAGGTGACATTGATCTAATCAATGACCCCTTTGTTATTCTTGCCCATTGGCCTTGGGGGCACATCCCTATACCACGGGATTGGTTCCTGCAATGTAGCAAGTTCCAGTTCATTTCTGTCTACTAATTACTCCAAAAATATCCTTATTATATGTAATCAACATGCTGCCACTGATGGCTTTGGCCCAATAGTTGAGCTTGAGGCCCCCCTAGAATGAGGTCGGGGTCAATCCCCACCTGGAGCAATCCCATGTGAGGTGTCTAAGTACCATTATTTGCAGGAAACTTGGTCCCTGTTATTTAGAGGTTGATATAGTTATTTGTTATTTTTAAAGATCTTCACTGTTGAGTATGAAATTTGGGTGTATACATTGGACTTCCAATGTTGTAATCATCATACTGAGAAAACTAACTGACACACTATATGCAAGAGCAGAGGATTCAATTGCTCTGATATGCCTCACCTATGGAAACAGACCTCAACATTAGGCAGACGGCCACCTGTAGTTACATGTGAAATGTTGACTAACACTGAATTGGCATATTTGTTAAGATTTTTAAGCCTGGGCAAGCCACGAATTTGAACTCTTTCACAGAGTACTTTAGCTCCAGGCCTAGAACCTGGAGAATTTTCCACTGGTAAAGCAGGAGAAAGCTGCAAACTGGTATGCTGAGAAACAGCTGCAGGAAACAGGAAAGCATAAATATATGTGAGACAGAGATCAAACATCCATCTATGTTCCATGATATGAATTTTATATAATATTACTCATTCCACAATGCTAATACGCAGCTCGTGTTACATTTATGAAGCAACTATAATCTAGACAGCAGCATTTCTTAACTTCGAAGGCAAAAAAAAAAACTGAAAGCAAAATGAAAAGTTTTCAAACCCTAGAATTGCAGAGGGCGTTCTTTACCTAAGGAAAGTTCGTCGCCGGAAACGAGATAGCGTGAAGTGAAGAGGGATAACACAAAAATGAGCGCCGGAAACGGTAGAGAACGTGCAGTAGCAGGGCCAGTTGCCATTGTTCCTGCAATCCGAGTCGAGAAGTAGCGATGGAACCTATCGAGTATACGGACAGTTTGAATGTTCTTCTTTCTCTTTGTCCCGAATTCAAAGTTTTGGATTGGGCTTTTAAGCGGGCAGCCCAATTTCTTTTCTTTCATTTTTTTTTCATTAAGGGTATGTTTGGAAAGCAGGAAAATGACTTCTGGAAAATGACTTTTGAAAAATGAGTCATTTTCCAGAAGTCATTTTCCTTTCCTTTGTTTGGTTGTACAATGAAAAACTGTTTTTTAGTGTTTGGCTCATTTTTCGGAAATGATGTAAAATTGTATAATTAAACATTTTATATAATTAATTATTTTATTTAAAATATATAAAATTTACAATAATATTATAAATAATAATATTTATTTTTAAAATTAAATAATAATATTATTTATTATTAAAAAAAAAACATAATATTCATGGTTTCCGGCGGAAACCAAAATCTGTTTTCCGCCGGAAACCATGTCTGGTTTCTGGCGGAAACCAAGATCTGGTTTCCGCCGGAAACCATGACTTCCGGCAGGAAATCATCTGGTTTTTGCGCCGGAAACTAAGATCTGGTTTCTGTGCTTAAACCAGATGGGTTGTTTACTATTTTATTAAAAAAAAAAAAAAAAAAAAAAAAAAAAAAACCTTTGGTTTTCGGCGGAAACCAGATTTTCGCCGGAAACCAAAGCTTAGGAAACTAGTGCTCAGGTTTCCGGTGGAAACCTGCCGGAAATCAGTGAGCCCAAAAGCCAAAGGATGAAGAAGCCAATGAAGATGAAGAAAGTCAACTGCTCTTGAAGTGAAGAAATGAAGAAGTCATGACTTCCCCTTTTTTAAAGGGGAAGTTGTTTTCCTTAAAAATAGGCTCATTTTCCATTGACCAGTACCTCATTTTCAATTGACTTCAAATTTTCCTTCTTTCCAAACATTGGAAACCCGGAAAATGATTTCTAGAAATCATTTTTCGGATTTCCAAACACACCCTAATTCTTTTTACCCGAAAGACTCGAAAGATTAAGGGTTGTTATATCGTGGACCGCGGTGCACATGCACCTAGGTCAAAACGGCGTCGTTTTTTTACTTAAAGAAACAGTGCTCTGTTAGTGTTAACGGAGCGCGCATTTTTTTGTATGTTAATTACCAACTGACACTACAATATATCTAAGCTGACACT